ATGTCATTAAGATAGCACATTACAATAGTTTGGGAAATTGCTAAAATAATAGATATATCACATAGAACTTCCAAACGAAGGGAAAGAATATAACAGGGGAAAATCCCTCAATTTAAAATAAGAGAAGTGAGAAGAGGGAAAAAGGAGAAAAAAGCAACAACTGTGGCACATAAATGACAGGAATAAACACAAATATATTCAAAATAACATGAATGTAAATGGGCTAAACTCTGTATACTGTAGTTGTAAAAAATTGCCATACTCATTTTAAAATATCCAGCAGCTGTATGTGATTTATAGGAAATATATCTGAACATAAAGACTCAGATGGATTGAAAAAGGACGGCTATATTAGGTAAACATTAAAAGAACTGGGTATAGCAATAATAATGTGAGGTAAAATACACTTTAAAACAAAAGTACTTCATACAAATAATACTAAGCACATTAGCAACTTAATTCACTATGAAGGCATGTAATTCTAAGCTAGTATAAACCAAAACACATAATTTCAAAATACATAAAGTAAAAATTGACAACAATAGATATAAAATAGGCAAATTCACCAACAGAGTGAGAGAATGATGCACCCTTGTACAAACAGGAAAAGAATTAGTGGGGATATAGAAAACGAAAACCCATAGCAAAACTCCATGTTTCCATGAATTCACCTAGTCATCTGCTTGCATAGACAGCCAAAATGTGGTATGATTGAGGCAGGGCCAATTCTTAACAAACCTCACATGGATACCCTTGACTGACTCCCTTTTAGACAAAGGGATGCACAATACCCCAATTCCATCACAAGTAAATTCCAGTTTCATGTTCTATTATACTTAATAAAAATAGCCTAAAACTATCCAAACAGAGCATTGCTAGCATGCATTGCACACACTCTTGACATGACACCATGTATCAGTCTGCTTAGGAGAATTATGCCAAAGAGATGTCACTGTCATTTCATTGAGGTTGCTTTGATTTTAAATGAGTGAACAAGTGTACACCTGAATTTTAAACTTTTCGTCCAGTGACACTGTGCAGAGTTCTACAATCTCTAATCATGAACATGTTCTTAAGACCACCTATGTATAGAAACAGGGGATGTAGGGGATCAAGGGAGGAGGAAAGTTGGAAAGTTTGCCCCAATGGGGTATGCTAAACTGGCCAAAAAAGTTAGGTGTTAGGCATTTCATGTGTTCAAAACTAGCTCATAGGTATAAGATTGTATGTTAGGCTTTATTTTTTTTTAGGTAGTTGAAAACCCAGTTAAAATAAACTTAGAATGAATGTATTACAAACTCTTGAAACACTCTCAGCAGAATACAGGTTAGAAAACCATCCATCTATGATACTGAGGATTGCTACATGGGTACTTAGACACATAGGAAATGCAAAGCTCAAAACTGGGTATTTCTTTGAGTCGATTTTAGCCATCATAGTTTTATTCAGCATCTAGTCACTGTGAAGTCATCTCTCTTCCATCAAGTACATGATCAAAAAAAAATTCACAAATAACCAGGAGAAACAGCACGTGTGTGTGTGTGCGTGCATACACACGTGCACACACACACACACACACACCATGCAAGACTGCAAGACCCAAGATCAAAACTATGCATAATAGAAATTTTTGCTAAAATATATTCACTGATCAGTTTATTAATTCAACTAATACATTTAAGCTTCCACCAAGTGTCAGCCACCATGGTAGACGATGGAAATGCAGCATTAACCAAGACAGATAAGACTCCTACCCTTATGGAGATAGTTTCAAAGATTACCACGTTCCTTGAAGAAAATAAAATACTATATACTACATGCCATTTTGCAAGTTCAGTCTGACTGTCATATTGGGCCTATAATTCTATTTTGGAGGGGTTGTGCTGTGCTACAGGATGTTCAGCAGAAACCTGGGCTTCTGCTCACTAGATACCACTAGCAGATACCTGGGCTTCTGCCCACTAGATATCACTCTCTCAGTTACCACAACCAACACTGTCTCTAGATATTAATAAATATGTTATGGGGGGACAAAACCAGCTCCAATTAAGAACAGCTGTGCAAGAGTGACTGAAATGGGAATGAACTGGTTGTTGCTGTTGCTGTTGTTGTTTTGTCAGGAAAGACATTTTTGAGGGCTTACAAATGGGGAAAAAAAATCAAGCAGGAAATGAAATTGGAAGAAAATTTCCAAACAGATTGGAATAGCAAAATTTTAATCCAATAAAATAATGAACTTGGAGTTCTAAAGGAACAGAAAGACTTGTGTGACTAAAGCATAGAAGCAAGAGATGGTGCCAGAGGCAGACAAGAACACGTCACTAGAATAGTTTTACAGACCATGATAGAAAATTGTACTTTTAAAAAGTGTTATAAGAGGTCTGAATGAAGAGAATTTCTGATTAACTGGAAGAAATTCTACTAGGTGGAACTTTGAAAGTACATAGACATGGATTTCACAAACTGAGATGAAAGAAGCATTTCAGGCATACATTTCAGGCATACATAAGGGATAGAGACGGTAAAAATCAACTAGCGTGGGATAAAGGAACTGAAGAAATGGATCTCCAAAACTGTCAGAAATGTAGTCCTGAATCAAGAAAGAAGTGGCTCTTGAGCATCTTCTACTCCAACTACTACGGGATGACAACTCAAAGGAGCTCTCTCAAGGAGAGTGTGTTCTAGGCAACATATTGACAGCAGCTGTGAGCTGTGGGACCCAGTGCATGTGCATGAGCTCTGGCTCAGTCCCAAACATGCCCTTTAGGGAGGGAAGGTTCAAAGCCAAAGACAGGCCTACAAACCCAACAGAACTCCGAGGTGAAAATCCCAGGAAAAGGTGACTAGAAGCACAAAAATGTTCATGGCTTGATTTTTAAATGATCTTGTTAGAAGTTTACAGATTCAGCACTTTCAGACCCGTGGAGTCAGTGATCATAAGCTTTTTTTATTCAATTCCATTGTTGTTTTATTGCTACCATTTTAAAAAATATTGGCATGTATAAGAAATAGTTCTGTGTTTATCATTCATTTTCTCATTTTATTTTCTGAATACTTTGAGGTTCTCTTGCTTTTAGCATTATAAAAAAGAACATTAAAATCCAGAGATACTCTGTTACTTATCCACAGATTTCAAAACCTAAATAGTCTCAAGCTCAATTTATTAACACATAAAACTCAGAAAAAGAATTAAAACAATATACTGCTAAGATGAACCAACTGACTAAGGTGAAATCACTTACCAAAGGGCCTACCCAGCTAGCATTTGAGAAACAATTTTTTTTCCTCTGCATTTTTTATTTTTATTTTATTTATTTTTACATTTTTCATTTTTGTACAATGAATGCATTTTCGTCTTGGTTATCATCCCTGTAAAATTCCCACCCCACCCTTGTTTTGATCCTAATCCCTTCTCCCCTCCCCTCATAGTGTGTCTCTGGTTAATAGTTGCCTGTTGATTTTGATTTTTACTTTATTATAATTAGTGTTTTTCCTTTTGACTTATTTAGGTTTTCTAAATTCCTGCTATGAGTGAGACCATCCGGTATTTTTCTTTTTTTCTGGCTTATTTCACTGAGCATGATCCCTTCCAGCTCCATGCATGTTGCTGCAAATGACATGAGTTTATCTTTTTGATTGTTGAGTAATATTCCACTGTGTATATGTACCACATCTTCTTGATTCAGGCATGTATTTTGGGGCATTTGGTTTACCTATTGTAAACAGTGCTGCAATAAACATAGGGGTGCAGGTGTTTTCTGAATTAATGTTTTTGTGTTCCTTGTTTAAATACCTAGGAGTGGGAGAGCTGGATCGTATGGAAGCTCCATTTTTAGCAGATTGAGGAACCTTCACACAGCTCTCCATAGTGGCTGAGCCAGTGTGCACTCCCACCGGCAGTGCAGGAGAGTTCCTTTTTGAGAAACAATTTTTAACTAATTGCTAGAACATGAACATCTACTAGAACTAATCAATTTATAAGTATTTCATATGCATCATCTTGATTAATCCTCACAAAAACCTATAAGAAAATTCCTATTTCCCATATTATACATGAGAATCCTGAGAATTAGAGATCTGAGGAAACCAGTCCAAAGTCACACAACCAGTAAGTGATGGACTTGAGATAATTCAAGCAATCAAATGCCCAGAACTCTTTCAATGCAAAAATAACTATTTTAGAAACTCTTAGTTTTATTTTGTATTTAATAATGATGTTCAATTTAAAAATATTACAAGGTTATTTGAAAAAATTCAAAGACAAGGACATATAACAATGTTCTAAATAAAGGCCACCACTTGGAAACCTCCATTACTCCAACATTACTTTGTTGCTGGTTGAGCAGAAATTAAGAAATAAATCTGGAAAAATCTATTCATCAACTTGTATCACCAAATACCTCAATTTCCAAATAAGCATATTAGAAGAGGACTTAGTGTGTTGACTCAATAATCTCTTAAGACAGAGACAAAAGTTCATAAGACAGTTAATAAGTTGAGATATTTCAAATGAAATTGTCCCTACCTCTGTCACACTATCCTCCTCCAGATCTGCTAACCAAACACAATTTGAGAAATCAACAAGACCTAGAGTTACAGAAGCCACTTCAGTTTTTTGGAATCTAGGTAATTGAGTTCCAATGGCTGACACAGGGATGACTAACTGCTACTACTATCTACATGGAAGTACGCAATCAGCTGGACCAGGATTCCTAAGAGATTGACCCAGTCAATGGAGATGAGATCCACATGAATTCATTCTGAAGATCAAGAAGAAGAGGCCACAGCTACCCTGGGACAAAGCCTTTTAGGGCAGGGGCAGAAGTGTAAGAACATGTGTGAACACATTTTAGGCCTCTAATTTAAACCATTTAGGTCATATTCACTAGGTATTAATTACTGTTAAAACAACTGTGTACTAAATGCTTTATGCTCATTCTTGTATATAAGCTTCACAACACACTTGTCAAGCAGGACCCTCTTTTGTCCTTGTTTTAAAGTCAAAGAAATGGAGGTGAAGAGAAGTTAAGAAATTTTCCCACTACCCTGCAGTTTGTATATGGTGGAGTCAGGATTCAAGTGACTGCACTAGGACGCCTGGGGTAAGCCATCACATTCTATTTAATTCTGCTGCAGCTTAAATGGGGCTAGTTTCAAAGTTCCCATAACATGAAACTTAAAAAATATATGAATTTTGTTTTATTTTTGTCATAGAATTGTTGCACTGCAGTCTTTACCATGCAATGGACTTATGTAACATGAATCCTTGTTAAGATACCTAATAAAATGAATAAATGACTCTACAGTTCCTAAGAACTAGAACATTACCACTATTTTTATATGGTCCATTTTGGATAAACTTTCTGCCTCCTCCCTGAAGGTTAGCACTATCTTGATCTTTGTATTTATCATTCAAGTGCTTTTTTTTTCTTAACACAGATTGATCATATTTCTATGCAGCAAATAATTTTGTTTTGTTGATCCTTCAAATGTGTTGTCATATGTGTCCAGAGTTAATTAATTTTTATTGTTGCAATATTCACTGAATATAAATACTGTCTCTAATATTTTGCTATTAAAAAACAGTGCTTCGCAGTCCGAACCCAGAGGGGAGTGAGCACCCATCACCGGAGAAGACCATGTGCAGAGGGGAGCGTGTCCCCAGCATCGCCATTTTAGAACAGGGACCTTTCTTCAGTAGAGACTGCCTGAAACTGGCAGAAGACTCCCAGAGGAGCCAGAGGCGAGCTGGGAGGCTCGCCCATGCCAGGCCCCTTCTGGCCTGCAGTCCAAGCCCAGAGGGGAGCGGCACACACCACTGGGGCAGACCGGGCAGGCAGGGGAGCGTGTCCCCACATCAGAATTTTAGAACAGGGACCTTTCTTCAGTAGAGACTGCTTGAAACTGGCAGAAGTCTCCCAGAGGAGCCAGAGGAGAGCTGGGAAGTTCGCCCAATATGCCAGCCAGTACCAGCAACACAGTGTCCCAAGGAATATGGCAAATTAGAAAACAGGCAGTAGGGAGTAGAAAAACCACATGCAACCCAGCGACTCCTCAGGAAAAAAGCACACTACCAAAAGAAAACCAGCTACTAGATTGCAACGACATTAACTTGGAAGAACTTCTGAGCCTTCCAGAAAGAGAATAAAAAACTGCTGCGATTAAAAAACTGACAGAAGTCATAAAGGGAAAAATGATTAACGATCAGAAGAATGAAATTGAGTCCCTAAAGAGGGAAGTAAAAGAAATGCAGGGGATCAAAGAATTAATGGAGGCGCTAAAGAACTCTGGGAAAAGCAATGAAAGCAATATAGATGAAATGGAAGAACGAATAAGTACTCTTGAAGACACATAAATAAAAAGAACTAAAACAGAAAAGGAAAGAGAAGTACGAAGGAAAAAGACCGAAGAAAGACTTCGGGAACTATCTGATTCCATGAGGAAAGGAAATATAAGAGTTATAGGAATACCAGAAGGAGAGGAGAGAGATGCAGGAACAGAGAAAATATTCAAGGAAATAATTGAAGAGAACTTCCCAAACATGAACAAGGAGCTGAAAATTGATATAAAAGAAGCAAGAACACCAAACTTCCATGACGAAAGGAAAAATACAGCAAGACACATAATAGTAAAGGTCCCAAGAATCCAAGACAAGGAAAAAATAATGATGCTGACAAGAGGGAAGAAACAGATAACATTCAAAGGAAAACCAATCAGACTGATGTCAGACTTCTCCAAAGAAACACTACGGGCAAGGAGAGAGTGGAGGGACATCGTCAACAGACTCCAAGAAAACAGATGCCAACCAAGAATACTCTATCCTGCAAAGCTTTCCCTCCTCTATGAAAAAAAGAATAAGGACCTTCCCAGACAAACAGAACCTCTAGAATTTCATTACGACTAAAACCCCACTCCAAAAACTACTACAAGGAGTCCTAAAGCCAGAACCTTAGAGGGACGAATAACAACAAAAGAAGGCCAAAAAAAAAAAAAGTTATAAAAAGAATAAATAAATAAAATCAAGGGAAACACAAACACAATGGCAAATACAGATGCTAATATATCAAAATTAACTCTAAACATAAATGGACTAAACTCTTCAATAAAAAGACACAGATTCACAGGCTGGATTAAGAAACAAAACCCAATCTTTTGCTGTCTCCAGGAAACACATTTAGCTACAAAATATAAAAATAGACTCAAAGTAAAAGGATGAAAAATAATCCTACAAGCAAATGGACCAAAAAAGAAAACAGGAACAGCTATACTTATATCAGAAAAAACAGATTTCAAACTCAAAAAGATAAAAAGAGACCACAACGGTCACTACATTATGATCAAGGGGACAATACTTCAAGAAGAAATAACACTCATTAACAATATTCACCAAATGAAGGAGCACCAAAATATATCAGACAACTATTGTCATCTTTGAAAACAGACATCAGAGAAAACACATATGTAGTGGGAGACTTCAACACACCACCATCAACAATGGATAGATCAATGAGACAAAAAATAAGTAAATATACTAAAGCTCTAAATAAGGATCTAGAAAGCTTGGGCTTAACAGACATCTATAGAACACTAAACCCAAAAAAATCTGAGTACACATTTTTCTCAAGCGCACATGGATCATTCTCCAGGATCGATCACATACTGGGACACAGGACAAACATCAACAGATACACCAAGATTGAAATCATAACAACCATCTTTTCTGTCCATGAAGGCATCAAACTAGAAATAAACCATAAAAAGCAGGCAAGGAACTCCCCTACCTCATGGAGATTGAAACCCACACTACTGGAAGACCACTGGACTAACGAGGAGATCAAAGAAGAAATTAAAAAAGTTCTTTGAATTGAATGAAAAGGAGGACACCAATTTCCTAAATGTATGGGATGCAGCAAAAGCAGTAATAAGAGGAAAATATATAGCAATAGAGGCTCACATCAAGAAACAAGAACTCAAAGAAACAACCTAATCTCAAAACTCAAAGAACTAGAAAAAGAACAACAAAAAAAAACCTAAAATCAGTAGAAGAAAAGAAATAATAAAAACCAAAGCAGAAATAAATGAAATTGAAATTTAAAAAAACAATCCAAAAGATCAATGAAACCAAGAGCTGGTTCTTCAAAAAAATCAATAAAATAGACAAACCCCTAGCCAGGCTCACAAAGGAAAAAAGGGAGAAAGCACAAATAAACAGGATCATAAATGAAAGAGGAGAAATCACAACGGACACAGCAGAAATCAAAAGAATAATCAGTAACTACTATGAACAGTTATATGGAAACAAGTTCAACAATCTAGAGCAGATGGACAAATTCCTACAACTCTACAATCACTCAAAGCTAGATAAAGAAGAAATAGGACACCTAAACAGACCAATTACAAGCAGAAAAATTGAAATGGTAATCAAAAACCTTCCCAAAAACAAAAGCCCAGGACCTGATGGATTGACAAATGAATGCTACCAAACATTCAGAGATGAATTAGTGCCTATCCTTCACAAACTCTTTCAAAAAATTGAGAAGGAAGGGACAATACCAAACATGTTCCATGAAACCAACATTACACTAATACCAAAACCGAACAAGGACAACACAAAAAAAGAAAACTACAGGCCTGTCTCCCTAATGAACACTGATGCAAAAATCTTCAATAAAATTTTAGCTATCAGAATCCAACAATGTATCCATAAGATAATTCACCACGACCAAGTGGGATTCATTCCAGGGACACAAGGATGGTTCAACATCCGAAAATCAATCAACGTTGTCCAACACATCAACAAAAAGAAATATAAAAACCATATGATAATATCAATAGATGCCGAGAAAGCTTTCGACAAAGTGCAACACCCATTCATGATAAAAGTCCTTGAAATTCTTGGGATACAAGGAACATACCTCAACATCATAAAGGCCATCTATGACAAGCCAACAGCCAGTATCATTCTCAATGGTGAAAAGCTGAAAGCATTTCCATTAAGATCTGGAACAAGACAAGGATGTCCACTCTCACCACTGCTTTTCAATATAATACTGGAAGTCCTAGCCAGAGCAATAAGACAAGAGAAAGGCATCCAAGGAATCCAAATAGGAAAAGAAGAAGTCAAACTATCACTATCTGCAGATGATATGATAATATACATAGAAAACCCCAAAAACTCCACAGAAAAACTAATTCAACTCATCAATCAGTTCAGTAAAGTGGCAGGATACAAAATCAACATGCAAAAGTCAGTAGCCTTCCTATACACAAACAATAAATCTGAAGAAGAAGAAATCAAAAAAACCATCCCTTTTATTATCGAAACAAAAAAATCAAATACTTGGGAATAAATCTAAAAAAAGAGGTAAAGGACCTATACAAAGAAAACTATAAAACACTGTTAAAAGAAATAGAAGAAGACACAAAGAAATGGAAAGACATCCCCTGCTCAAGGAGTGGAAGAATAAACATTATTAAAATGGCCATCCTACCAAAAGCAATATACAGATTCAATGCTATTCCAATAAAAATTTCAATGTCATTCCTCAAAGAAATAGAACAATTATTGATGAAATACATATGGAATCACCAAAAACCCAGAATAGCCAAAGCTCTACTGAAAAAAAAAAGAAGGGAATGGAGGCATCACACTCCCAGACTTCAAACTATACTACAAAGCCATAATCATCAAAACTGCATGGTATTGGAACAAGAACAGACACACAGACCAATGGAATCGAATAGAAAATCCAGAAATAAACCCACAGATTTATGGTCAACTAATCTTTGACAAAGGAGCAAAGACTATGCATTGGAGCAAAGAAAGTTTGTTCAATAAATGGTGCTGGGAAAACTGGGTAGCTACATGCAAAAGAATGAAGCTTGACTACTACCTCACACCATACACAAAAACCAACTCAAAATGGATTAAAGAACTATACATAAGGGCCTCCCCGGTAGCACAGTGGTTGAGCGCTGGGTTGCAAAGCTGCCCGCAGCCTCTGCAGTGCCGCTTCGATACCC